CGGTCCGTGAGTTCGAGCCCCGCGTCAGGCTCTGGGCTGATGGCTCGGAGCCTGGAGCCTGTTTCTGATTCTGTGTCTCCCTCTCTCTCTGCCCCTCCCCCGTTCATGCTCTGTCTCTCTCTGTCCCAAAAATAAATAAACGTTGAAAAAAAAAATTAAAAAAAAAAAAAAAGAAATATATAGTTTTAGAAAATGTTTAGCCTAACAGTTGATAAGTCAGAGACAGGGCTAGATCCAACCTCTGCCATTTCATTGAAATATTTTCGTTATATTTAATTTGCAAAAGGCCCTAAATTATAAAATCTTGATAAGCCATAAAGTATTATAATTTTACCACTCTTTCATTGAGTCTGTGTATCCCTAGGGAATTAATCTAACATTAAGGCTATCGGGGTTACATAGGGAAATTTCTAAGGAAAATATATTTCATGGATTCTAATCAAGTTTACAAACCTATTGAGTCACCATTTTTACAGGGTATGGGATTAAAGGTGTTCACCAACTCTAAAATCCGAAAACCACGGTCGTGTTCAGTGATCCAACCACCTGGAGGAGCGGAAAGGCAAGGAATGTATGGAGGTAAATAGCAAGTTGCTTTCAATTTTGTATAGCATCCAACAATATTAATTTGCCAAGAAAAAAATGTAAAACGAGATGGATCATGTGGCCTTATCTCCATTTGATACATAGAGAAACTAAGATTCAGATGTTTCTTGCTGAGATCATTTAGCTGGTAAATGGCATAGACAGAACTGACCAGTTTGTTAAAGATCAGCCCGATATTTTATTTATCTTATTTATTTTGAGAGAGAGAGAGAGAGAGACAGCACAAGCAGGGGAGGGGCAGAGGGAGAAAGAGAGAGAGAGAGAGACAGAGAGACAGAGAGAGAGAGAGAGAGAGAGAGAGAGAATCTTAAGCAGGCTCCACTCTCATCATGGAGCCCGATGCAGGGGTCGATCTCTTGACCATGAGATCATGATCTGAGCTGAAATCAAGAGTCAGCCACTTAACTGACTGAACCACCCTGGAGCCCCTGCATGAATCAGATATTTCAGGGCACAAAATCAGATGAAACACAAGATTCTACTATACTATAAGAAAGGAAAATGTTTACAATGTAAGGAGAGAATAATTCTAATTACGGAATCAGGAGACATTTTTAGAGATGCTATATCTTAAAGAATAGAAAGGAAGAGAACAGGCCTTGCTGGTGAAAAGAAACAATGCGAAGATGGCAGAAATATCTCCTAATCCAAAGCCAAAAGAAAACGAAATAAAACATCAAAGGAAGCAGCCTCTTTCTACACCCTTCACTTTCCCATTAAAATACATGTTTTGGGGCGCCTGGGTGGCGCAGTCGGTTAAGCGTCCAACTTCAGCCAGGTCACCATCTCGCGGTCCGGGAGTTCGAGCCCCGCGTCAGGCTCTGGGCTGATGGCTCGGAGCCTGGAGCCTGTTTCCAATTCTGTGTCTCCCTCTCTCTCTGCCCCTCCCCCGTTCATGCCCTGTCTCTCTCTGTCCCAAAAATAAATAAACGTTAAAAAAAAAAAAAATTAAAGTACATGTTTTAATCCCCAGATCTATTTATACTTACAGCCCATTAACCAATCCTTTTTCCTCTCTCTGTCTCCCATGATTCTGTCTTTTCTTCCAAAATATTCTTGATGCATATTGTTAATGAAGATTAACATCTTCTGAGTTTTGTATTTACGAATCAGAGGTTTTATGTGTCCAGTGAACATGACAGATGGCTTTATTGAGATATAACTGATATAGAACATTAAATAATTTTAAGGAATACAATGTGTTTATCTGATGCACTTATATATTACAAAATGATTATCACTATAGCATTAATTAAAATTTCTGTCACCTCCTAATTTCCATTTCTTCTTTTTTTTCTTTTAAATTTTTATTTTCATTCCACTTAGCTAACATACATTGTCATACTAGTTTCAGATGTAGAATTTAGTGATTCAACACTTCCGTACATCACCCTGTGCTCATCATAACAAGTGCACCCGTCGGTCCCCAACACCTATTTAACTCATTGCTTTTCCCCCCTCTTCCCTGGTGACCATCAGTTTGTTCTCTATAATTAAGAGTCTGTTTCTTGGTTTCTCTCCCTCTCCCTTATTTTTTTTCCCTTTGCTTGTTTGTTTTCTTAAGTTCCACACATGAGAGAAATCGTATGATATTTATCTGTTTCTGACTGCCTTAGGAGTACTACTAATCCATTAAAAAAAAAAAAAAATGAAATCTTGCCATTTGCAACAACATGGATGGAGCCAGAGAATATAATGCTAAGTGAAATAAGTCAGTCCATTTCTTTTTTATGGTTCTCAGCACTTTTCAAATGGAAAAACTGAACCCAGAAAGGTTAAGTAACTGAAGCCGTTAGGATGCCACGGCCAGTAAGAGATGAGATGGAGATTCAGATCTGGCTGTTTGACTCCAGATCCTTGTTTTTTAACCTCTACACTATTCTGTCTCTCAAAGGCTTTAAGGTGAGAGCTTGCCTGGAATGTTCTAAGGGTAAGGAAACCAGCATGGTTGGAACAGAGTGAACAAAGTAAGTGCAGTTGGAAAGAGAGATCAGCGGAATAATTGAGGCCAAATTGTATAGGGCTTTGCAGACCATTGTAAGAATTTGACTTTTTACTCTGCATGAGATGGAAAGATTTTCAGAAGTGGAGAGTGACGTGATCTAATATGTTTCTTATAAGGATCACACTAGATACTGAATTTAGAAGAAAATTAAGTTTTCAGTTTTTATGCTTTTTTTGTTTGAAAGTAGTAAAGGTCAAAAATGAATACAAGAATTACAAAGCTAAATTGAGTGGCCCTTTCACAGCCATGAACAGAATATCCAGTTGAAAGTATTTTGTGATCAGCAGTGAAATAGAACGTAAGTGAACGTGTCCAGGGATCAACACATTTCGATGAAGTCAGATGTGAAAAAGAAGCAGAATAATAATAATAATGACAACAATAACATTTTGTCTTGGGAAATGAATCTAAAGGCATTTAAAGTAGAGTGTATGAGTTGTGACAGAGGAAGAATAGAATTTTAACATACACACTGTGAAAGGATCAGTAGAGAGTTGAAGTTGACCTTGAGAATGAGACAATAAGGAAGGTACAGTCATCATCCAATACATGGAGTTAAAATAACACATTAAGCCACTGTTTGTTAACTGGAATAGCTGGAGAAGTTGAAGGGTCTTTGGCATCTGTAGCAGAAAAGAGAAAATAGCTTATTTAAATTTTTTTTTCAACGTTTTTTATTTATTTTGGGGACAGAGAGAGACAGAGCATGAACGGGGGAGGGGCAGAGAGAGAGGGAGACACAGAATCGGAAACAGGCTCCAGGCTCTGAGCCATCAGCCCAGAGCCCGACGCGGGGCTCGAACTCGCGGACCGCGAGATCGTGACCTGGTTGAAGTCGGACGCTTAACCGACTGCGCCACCCAGGCCCCCCGAAAATAGCTTATTTAGATGCATCATCCATTTAGATAAATTTAAGTACCAATAACAGATTTACATATTCAACATAAGAGTAAAAACAGAGACAATACAGCAACATCAGGGAGAAATCAAAGTCAGAGACAGAGATGGCTACCACGTGGAAGGACTTCTAGGAAAGAAGTTGTATGATATTAATTAAAGAAATTACTGTGGATGCTTTTTTTTTTTTTTTTTTGAGAGGGAGAGATCAAAGGAAAATACCTGGAAATGTTTTTTTTTTTAATTTATTTTTTTTAATTTTTTTAAAGCCTTTTTTTTATTTTTTGTAATCTTTATTTATTTTTGAGAGAGAGACAGGGTACAAGGGGGGAAGGAACAGATAGAAAGGGAGACACAGAATCCGAAGCAGGCTCCAGGCTCTGAGCTGTCAGCACAGAGCCCAACGTGGGGTTTGAACTCACAAACCTGTGAGATCATGACCTGAGCCGAAGTCGGACGCTCAACTGACAGAGCCACCCAGGTGCCCCATGTTTTGTTCTGGTTTTTAATAAATATTATTTCACAAGGCAATTCTGAAATATCACCTGGGGTGCTTGGATGGAGAGCCTAAGCCAAACTCAATTTATAAGCATGACCTCAGGCACAACAAGGATCGGAAAGCTTTCACGTTTAGTTCTCTATCCCCTTACTTTTGTAAATAATTTCTCTGTCTCCGTCGTAGCAAATGGAACCATCTTTCTATGGCATCTTGAATTTTTCATTTCTCCTTCCCAAGACATAAAGAGAAGAAAATCTAATGCCCTAGCCTTCTTATCAGGAGAACAATGAGTTTACAAGCTTCATTATAGTGCAAAGAATTGATGTTATTAAATTCTATTCACCCGTTGGTAACTCAAACAATGGAACACATGTTGCCCGAACAGAGTTTTGCGTTTTCTGCTCAGTCCTTCTTATGGAGGAAACAATACTCTGTGACCTTGAAAACCCTAACTATATCTCTCACAAACTATAAACGCATGTCCAAGTTCTCTTGCTCTACGAGCCTCCACTCATACACAATTATGCTATCTCTAGGGTACAGGGAATTTCTACCTTTAACAGAGACTCCTGTCTGCTCAAAGAATGAGGGCTCAACAAGTTATTTCCAAAGTTCTACAACTCTTAGGAGACCATCTGAGCAGGAAAAGTGAAAACTGGGTCTTCTAACTCTCACGCATGCACCATGAATGGATGCTTTTTCTTTAACTAGATTGTAATATTCCTTTATTTTATTAGTGGGAATGGCAGCGAGTCCATACAGTCCTCAATTTGACGCATATAATATAATGCCCATAAATAATCCAGAGCCAGTCTCCGAAACCGTACGGACTTATTTCCCTGAGACCTGGATCTGGGAGTTGGTGGCCGTGGAGTAAGTAATTTCACTCTCCTCCATTTGCTGTGGGTGAGCCAGTGAGAATCCTCCGGCACTTTCAACTCTAAGATAACCTTTCTGAGAAATTCTAAATCATCATCTTAACCTCTCATCCTTTCGGGATAGGTCTAAGAAAATGCTTTTATTATAGAGGTTTTATTATAGAGGTTTCAAATATAATATAAAAATATATTTTACTATATAGGTAAAATTGTCTCAGAGATGAGCAGTTCTGGAATAACTGTTCCTGAGACTGCCAGAAACAAGAAATGGGTGCTAAAAATATCCAAATGCTAGACTGCCTAATGCTATGGGGGGAGCCTTCCGGAAACGAGATTGGAACGCGCGCATAAACAAATCAGGCTACGTAAATGTAATGGTCTGTTTGTTAGATCGTGATTCTTTCTTTTTTTTTTTTTCTTTTTTTTTTTTTTTTAAACGTTTTTTTATTTTTGGGACAGAGAGAGGCACAGCATGAACGGGGGAGGAGCAGAGAGAGAGGGAGACACAGAATCGGAAACAGGCTCCAGGCTCTGAGCCATCAGCCCAGAGCCTGATGCGGGGCTCGAACTCCCGGACCGCGAGATCGTGACCTGGCTGAAGTCGGACGCTTAACCGACTGCGCCACCCAGGCGCCCCAGATCGTGATTCTTAAATACGCTTGTTTATGGGATTGCACAACAGTGAGGGACATCTATGGACCAAACTGAACCACACGGAAGTATTTTTCTTTTAAGGTACAGACATGTTGATGAGGGAAAGAGGCACCGTTGAGTACCTTCTATTTTCCCAACTCGGTTTCCCGATACATAATCTGGTGTACTCGTGTGGACATATTGATTCTCGCTTGAGAAAAGATGTTTCACCCGCTTACTTTCTGTTCTTCACATTTCTATCCTCCCCAGCGCATCAGGTGTGGCTGAAGTGGGAGTGACAGTCCCTGACGCCGTCACGGAATGGAAGGCAGGGGCCCTCTGTCTGTCCAATGACACTGGGCTTGGTCTCTCGCTTCCCGCCTCCCTCCGCGCCTTCCAGCCCTTCTTTGTGGAGCTCACAATGCCCCACTCTGTGATCCGCGGAGAGACCTTCACGCTCAAGGCCACTGTCCTAAACTACCTTCCCAAATGCATCCGGGTAAGGAAAATGAGGGTGAATTGAAAGGGGGGGATAGAGGGGCGCCTGGGTGGCGCAGTCGGTTGAGCATCCCACTTCAGCTCAGGTCGCGATCTCGCGGTCCGGGAGTCCGAGCCCCGCATCGGGCTCTGGGCTGATGGCTCAGAGCCTGGAGCCTGTTTCCGATTCTGTGTCTCCCTCTCTCTCTAGCCCCTCCCCCGTTCATGCTCTGTCTCTCTCCGTCCCCAAAATAAATAAACGTTGGAAAAAAAAAAATTTAAAAAAAAAAAAAAAAAAGAAAGGGGGGATAGAATCAAAGACTTCTTCGGTCGGTCAGCTCCCGATTCCGTTCCCAAGACTGTGGATAACGCTGGGAGTTCTGCCCTAGAGCTGCAAATAAATAGTGTCAAGCAGGGCAGGACCTGATCAGGAAGATAACACAATGACCTTTGGGCTACAGGTACAGGACCTCCAAACCACATACTTTTAAAAAGAAAATTGCCCGAATCTGGCCGAATCCTTTAACACAGGATAGGCTTTTTGCCAGGAAACTTCTTGATGCTGACGGAAAAAAAAAAAAAAGCCCGTTTGCGTAATTCCATGAGCGTCACCCTTCAGGCTCTTATCTCTGAACTCCCACAGTGTGCTTGCAACTTCTACAGCATGTGTTTCTTTGTAAATTTCGTCACGGTTTTGTGTATCGATGATCCCCTTTGTAACACAACATCCTCAAGGTCCGGAAGCTCTTAATTTGCTCCGTCTTGTATATAGTAGACAGGTGATATTTGTTGAGGGAAGTGGGAAGAAGGGAAGGAAGAAGTCAGGAAGAAAATCTACACGGCAGGTAGGAACCAACGGGTAGAACCAGTAGGTAATGCTCCCGTGGGCAATCTTCCATTGAGGTTTTCCCCTCCCCTCCACTGTTGCTATACCTGCAAATTTCTCCAATCCACCCTAATGCAACGGCCCGATCCTCCTAGTAAGGAATCATTCTTGCTTTGTATCACTGCCATTCTTAAACTCCTCAAAGCATGCGTGGACTTATGTGACATAATTTTTCCCCCCAGTCCCAGTCTAGTGCGGCATCTCATATGTGGTCCCAGTTCTGTGCATTCATTGTCTCTCCATATTCTGACCATTTGTTTCTATGCCTCGCTTGCAAATGATAGGTCAGTGTGCAACTGCAAGCTTCCCCAGCCTTCCTACAATCCCAGAATGAAAAGGGACAGGAATCTCATTGCATCTGCGTAAATGAGAGGCGAACCCTGTCTTGGGCGATAACTCCCAAAACACTGGGTGAGGGACGTTCCCCCCACACGTTCTCCGATCAACAAGCGTCGTAGGTATCTGGACCCTACGTACATCACGTTCTCCTTTCTGCTTTCTGCAAATCTAATTCCGTAAGGTTAGTTTGTCATTTCTTTTGCTTTCTACCCCCAGCGGCCTCCCAGTACTCCCACTGCACCTGGGTCCCATGATCATTGTGGCTTGGGCACAGTGGACATGAGCCTTGAGTTTTTTTTTCAGCTTTAGTTCCCACTTCCGGCCAACAGTAAGGTGAAAGCGCAGCCCTTCAAGATGATGACAGAGCACAGAGTCATTTTCCGGGGGTAAAAGCTCAGTGGTAGACCATTTGACAAGCACACATTTTCAGCTATAAGGGATGGCGTGGACTGCTGTCAAGGTGAACGCGCATGTTTTTCTACGTTTTTCTGTTCCAGGGAGTGTGAACTTCTCGGTGAGTGCAGAGGCAGTGCCGTCCCTCGAGCTGTGTGGAAATGAGACTGCTGAGGTCCCTGAGATGGGGAGAAAAGACACGGTCATCAAAACCCTGTTGGTGGAGGTAGGTCGGTCCGGACCACTTTGACATATTTTTCTGAGACCCTAGCAATAATAACAATGAAAAAATATGGCCATATTCTTGAGATAATAAAGGAGAATTATACCATACTCACACAATCCCCCAGGGAAGACTAACGGAATTTCCTGTCCTAAAAGTTTACAGGAGTCGGTTAGGCACCCGACTCCTGATTTTCGTTCACGTCGTGATCTCACGGCCATGGGATCGAGCCCCGTGTCAGGCTCCACAATGTGGAGCCCGCTTACGACTCTCCTCTCTCTCTTCCTCTGCCCCTCGCCCCTGCTCACTCTCTAAAATAAAATAGAATATGAAAAAAAAAGTGTTATAGTCAACTTTGCGGACTAACCTTGTTAGCTTATTGTAAATACTTTTTTCATAGATTAATTTAGAACTATTCTCTTTTCCTGATCTCTCCCTCTCTTCTAAGATTCGCTTATTTCTCACCCCTTGTACCTTTGATTCTCTTTCCTTATTATCCCTCCTTTCCTCCTCTGCAAATCTCCCCGGTTTTTCGAATTGTACGGATTTATAGCGATTTGATCATAAGTGGGATGTGAAGATTGTGTAGCGTAAGTTCCAGCCTGCGATGCAATGAATCTACGGTTGTCCCTCAAAAACCTGGATATTTATCCATTTTCTCTTTTTTTTTTTTTTTTTTTTTTTACTCCAGCCTGAAGGTATTGAGCAAGAAGAGACTTTCAACTTTATGATCTGTGCCTCAGGTAACAGTCAATCTTCATAATCATGGCGAGAATAACGCCTCACAGGGATATGTATGTCAAATTACACTGCAAACTCAGTTCACATTTAGCCTTTACCTCCGTAGCCCAGGGACTGACCGTGAACCAGTCAGGACATAGTAGCTTAGAGTGTCATAGTTTAGGTAGAAAGGGAGCAAAGTCATGATAAGTTTGAATGACAATAATATTCCCTAAAATAGTTGACGATGAAATATGTGGCACTTTGTACTCATCTTACTAAAAAAAAAAAAAAAAAATGTTTTTCATGGCAAAAAGAAAACCCGTTTTGCATCGGGAGTTTGTCATATCACTGAGAAACACCTGTACCTTGCAAATTACATTACCACATTAGTATTAGCGCTACGTCATATGTGTATATGTGTATATGACGCTTTTCTCGTCACTTGAGAAGGACCATTTTAAAATATAAACTCAGAGAACAATAAAAGCAGAGAATTGTGCCATTAAATCAAAGAACTGTACACCCTCACCAGTTCCCAGGCTCCTTTGAGAGAGCCACTATGCACGGCAACACAAAACATAGCAAAGTGAGAGGGGAAAGGACTCTGGTAGTCATACAGCGCCAAGAAGAGCTGGACTATTAAAGGTGATCTCACCATAAGCACAGTCCTTATCCCTTGGACTCCGAGTCCCTGAAGGAGACATAATAACACTGAATATAATAATAACAACCATAATAACTGCTCATGTGTATGGAGATTTGACATGTTGCAGAGGCTGTTCTAATGCACACGTGTTTCACATGCATTCTTCCTTGAGTCGTCATACGAGCAAGTTAGACGATGAAGAGGTTAAGGAATTTGTCCAAGGTTTGTAGCTAGTAAGTGGCAGGGCTGGTACCACGTCCAAGCAGGATGGCTCTGACCCCCTCCTAACCACTACATCATACTGCGATAAGAGATGCCGTCTTTTGATATGGATTGTCTGTTTCCAAAGGCACTGAAACATCTGAGCAGTTATCTCTGAAGCTCCCACCTAACGTGGTCAAAGAATCGGCCAGAGCCTCCTTTTCAGTTTTGGGTGAGTCAACTTGCACCCAGAAAACTTGAGACAAAAGAGCAGCCATAATACATTTTTTTTGTATCTATCTATCTATCTATCTATGTGCTTGGAATCTCAACTTATTGATAGTACCTATTTCTATTGGGATTCTGGAAGTCTCACTCTCTAAATAGAACTTTTCCCTTGCCTAAATGATGGTATCTATAATTCTAAATAGGAAAATCACTTGTCTTTAATAGTGTGAGCTACTTACGAGCTGAAATTACTCTGACACCTCATCTTTCACATCCCCCAGGTGACATATTAGGTTCTGCTATGCAAAATATACAGAATCTCCTCCAGATGCCCTATGGCTGTGGAGAACAAAACATGGCCCTCTTTGCTCCGAACATCTATGTTTTGAACTATCTGAATGAAACCCAACAGTTGACCGCAGAGATCGAGTCCAAGGCCCTCAGCTATCTTATCAGTGGTGAGACAAAGACGAGTTTACTTTGTTACTCTAAGGAGATTTTTCCCGATTAAACTTGAATCATATTACCAGATATTAAGCTAATGATGGTGATTTGGGGGGAAATGACAACTTTCCCAACATTTGATAGGATGTTGTGTTGTGACATATCCATATCACCATGACAGATCCTATGCACAAGAGACCGTACAATGTCTGGGGCTTCTGACCAACCTGCGCGTATGGGTGGCTTGCCTTTCTATAATATTTCTTGAACTAATTGCACCTTTCATTCCAGGTTACCAGAGACAGCTGAACTACAAACACCAAGATGGTTCCTACAGCCCCTTTGGACAGCAATATGGCAGGAGCCAGGGCAACACTTGGTAAGAGAAGAAAATCTGAGTCTCAACGATGAGCTCACAGCATGTACGTGTATTAGCCTATTTAATTCTTACAACTACCCTGTGAAGTGAGAGCCGCTTCATTTTACAGAGGAGGAAATGCTATACCACCATGGATAAATAAATGTCTCTGGTATAAACGGCTCCTAGGTGGCAGAAATGAGAACACTTGGAACTTGATTCTTTTTTATATCCAATATACCAAGCGTCTTTTCTTTCTCGTGTTGCTAAGAGACCATTGTAAGTTTGTGGTTTTCCCCTCTTGAGTTGTTGCTTAGCACTGAGAGACACTAGAGACAGGCAACAAGAACAGTAGCCATTCCTCACGGAGTGTCCTTTACTAACTTTTTTTTGGGTTTTTTTTGGTTTTTTTGTTTTTTTAATTTTTTTTTCCCAACGTTTTTATTTATTTTTGGGACAGAGAGAGACAGAGCATGAACGGGGGAGGGGCAGAGAGAGAGGGAGACACAGAATCGGAAACAGGCTCCAGGCTCTGAGCCATCAGCCCAGAGCCTGACGCGGGGCTCGAACTCACAGACCGCGAGATCGTGACCTGGCTGAAGTCGGACGCTTAACCGACTGCGCCACCCAGGCGCCCCTACTAACTTTTACTAAATGATTCTCTCTGTCTGTCTGTCTGTCTCTCTGCTTATCCATCCATCGTGGTCAGCCCATCCATCGATCTTCCATCTGTCCCTCCATCTATCTACCTGTCTGTCCATCCACTCATCTATTTATTTTTCTATTCATCCATCTTGAAGAAGTCGGACCACAAAAGAAAACGAGACGAAATCAATGACCCAGAAAGTGGTGGAGAAGCTGGGCGAGGTGAAATATTTACTGAGGCAGGACATTAAAAGCAGTTCATTAGACTATGAGCTGCATAAGAGGAGGTAAGAAATCTGTGAAAAGAGCCTGGGTAGCTCAGTCGGTTAAGCATCCGACTCTGGATTTCGGCTCAGGTCAAGATCTCATGGTTTGTGAGTTCAAGCCCCGCATCAGCACAGAACTGTCAGCACAAAGCCCGCTTAGAATTCTCTCTCTCCCTCTCTCTCTGCCCCTCCCCTGCTCAAGCACTCTCTCTCTCTCTCTCTCTCTCTCTCTCTCTTCCTCTTTTCACAGGGAGGAGTAGAAGATGAAGTGACCCTCTCTGCCTATGTCACTATTGCTCTTCTGGAAATTCCTCTCTCTGCTACTGTAAGATTCACCTCACTTCCACTTCCTACCATGAAAACTACAACCCTGATGTCTGAACACGCCCTACAAAAAGCCAAGTCTTCGCTCAATGCGGAGGCATTTCTCAGCTCGCAGAGCTCTGTGGTTAATCCAGCAAAGGGAACTTATACTTGCCTAGCAACGCCCTCAGGCTATGTACAAAACTCATCCTAAACACTCAGGTTCTGTAGACTTACTCTTTTTTTTTTTTTTTCTTCAACGTTTTTATTTATTTTTGGGACAGAGAGAGACAGAGCATGAACGGGGGAGGGGCAGAGAGAGAGGGAGACACAGAATCAGAAACAGGCTCCAGGCTCTGAGCCATCAGCCCAGAGCCCGACGCGGGGCTCGAACTCACGGACCGCGAGATCGTGACCTGGCTGAAGTCGGACGCTTAACCGACTGCGCCACCCAGGCGCCCCTGTAGACTGACTCTTTTAAGACTTAAGTATAAAGCTAAGAGATTTAAAACGCTTTTTCAACTTCAAAATCGTGGATATCCGGCTGTCTACCTGGCTGGCTAACAGCCGTGAATGACATCTGTCACGCGATGTCCAACCCAGGGCCCGCTCCACCCGCGACTTGCCCTAGCTTGACATCATTACCTCCTGGTCTTTGCAGCACCCGGTTGTTCGCAATGCCCTCTTCTGCCTGGAGTCTGCCTGGAACACGGCAAAGGAGGGGACCCATGGGAGCCAGAGCTACACCAAGGCGTTGTTGGCCTACGCTTTTGCCCTGGTGGGAAAGCCAGACAAGAAGAGAGAAATACTGGACTCTCTTAGGGAGGAAGCTGTGAAAGAAGGTGAGAGCGAATGGTCAAAAAATGTCCCCCTCCTCTTCCCCTGACACTGCAAAAAGACAATTGTGTTCCTGCTGAAAGTAATAAGTCTCCTTATCCAACTCAGGTGCTATGAAATCAGAGTACCTCTCATAAAAATGTCGTCTCTGCGATGTCATGTGTTATACAGTGTGTCACATAATAGACAGTGCTGCAGGTAAATTGTGGAAGTTTATTCCTCACTGCGACATATATATATTTTTTAAATTTATATATATTTCCCATGGTATCTGCCTGCTTGAATGAAATTATACTCGAATGAAAAGAGGCACAACCAAAAAGCCATACTCAGGGAAGTGCAATAACATTTTCACAGTGTTTTTATCTCTATCTGCAAAGAGATGATCACAAAAAGTCCTCTGGGATCAATGCGTGGGTTTTATATTCCAATTTATCCTCCAGTTTCCACGAAATCTCTCAAGCAATAAGGGAACTCTCTTGGGTGCCTGGGTGGCTCGGTCGGTTCAGCGTCCGACTTCAGCTCAGGACATGATCTCACAGTTTGTGAGTTCAAGCCCCACGTCGGGCTCTGTGCTGACAGCTCAGAGCCTGGAGCCTGCTTCGGGTTCGGTGTCTCCGTCGTTCTCTGCCTCTCTCTCTCTCTCTCTCTCTCAAAAATAAACATTAAAAAATTAATAAAAAAATAACATTTAAGACACTGATAAGGATGTTCCGTGCTTCGTCCTCCAACAACATTCTTCAACTTAGCCCCACAGGACTAAACCAAGCTTAGTATGGAAATGTGACTCAGGGAATTTGTGGGGTTTATGGAAGAGAGGACCTTACTCCATCCCTGTATTATTTTCAGCTACACATGATACAGATGTGTTTTCATGTATCATCTGCGAACCATCATCCTTTTTCTTACCCTTAAGGCAACTCAGTCCACTGGGAGCGACCTGAGAAACCCAGGGCACCAGTGGGGCCTCTTTATCAGCCCCAGGCTCCCTCAGCTGAGGTGGAGATGACGTCCTACGTGCTCCTCGCTCACCTCACGGCCCAGCCCGGCCCGACCTCCGAGGACCTGACTTCGGCCGCGGGCATCGTGAGCTGGATCCTAAAGCAACAGAATGCCCACGGGGGCTTCTCCTCCACCCAGGTCTGTGGTTCCCAAATAGTCTTCTCTTCCAGATTCACTTGGCAGATGGGAAGCTTGAAAACAGAACAGTTACGAGGAAAAGAGAAGAGACCATTAAATCATGGGGAGGGTTCTTTAGGGATATTTGAGGACAGTGGGAATCTGAAGGAAACAGACCTGAGACATTCCCCTAAAACGCTTTTCCCAAGTGCTATGTTGACACCCTATCCGTGTGGCTACTGACCATGAACATCAGCCCTCTCTAAAGCTTACACACACGGGTCGCCGGCCACACTCTAGACTCGGGTTTTTGAATATCGGTGCTCCTGACATTTTGGGGAAGATACTTGGGGAAGGCCAAGAACACTGTTGTGAGGGGCTGTCCTGGGCACCGAAGATGTTTGGCAGCACCCGTGTCCTCTCCCCACTAGATGGCCCATGGCACCCCACCTACTCTCAGTCGAGATAAGGTAGAATCACCACTGGATAAGAAATCCTGTAGGATTCTTCCAACAAGAAACCCTCTAAGGTGAACCAGAAAATTGTATGATTAAAAGGAAAGTGACCGAGGCACCTGGACAGCTCAGTAGGTTGAGTGTCTGAATATCCAGAGAACCTGGGTTTTCCCTCCTACAAAGCTCTTTCAATATTTAGGATGTACATAGTGGGACTTTTATTTTTCAGAGAAATTAGGTGTGGGAAATGAAAATACGCTATATAAAAGTGGGAAAGAAACTTGGGAAAGTGCCATGGTCTCCTATCACTACTCGCAGCCAATTTCTGTCACTCTTCTACCTAAATGAACACCATTCACCCTTTTTCCTAACTTGTCAATTTTAGACCCAATCTTGGACAGCTATAGCCAGGGGCACCATTGATGAGAAAGGGTAGGCCGTAATCTCTGGACGCAGGGGAATAGTCCCTTAGGACAAAACTAATATAAGTGAAAACAAATTGCCAGGCTAATTGGCATCAGAAGTCTTTTATTTCACTTGCGGAAACTGTAGCATAACTTTGATGGTGCCTGAAAGGCAAAGAAAAAGGAAACGCAATTAGCAGATGTAAACTTCAGGGGGGAAAAGCCATCATCCCCTTGTGGTAACCCACACAGACTTTGGGGGCAGTCCCTGCTACCAAAAACTTACTCTTTGGGGGTGGGTTCTCCACTCCTCTCTTCCAGGACACGGTGGTGGCTCTCCATGCCTTGTCCAGATATGGAGCAGCCACATTCACCAGGACTGAGAAAGCTGCACGGGTGACCATTCGGAATTCACAGACATTTTTCACGAATTTCCAAGTGGACAAAACCAACTTCCTGTTACTGCGTCAGGTCTCATTGCCAGAGCTGCCCGGGGAATATGCCATAACGGTGACTGGAGACAGATGCGTGTATCTTCAGGTGAGACTCAAGTTATGTTGGAAATTTTAACCTTACCGAATGAAAGAGGAGTCCTGGTCTCTCGTTTCTGAGCATGGAAAGGGCAAATCTGGAGGCGCGAAATGATGAAAAAGTGAGGCGCTCCAGGCAAACAGAGAAACTGATGGTGCATTGCCCTTCCACAGGCATCCATGAAATACAATATTCTTCCAGAGAAGGAGGACTCCGCATTTACTCTGAAGGTGCAGACTGTACCCCAAACTTGTGATGGACCCAAAGCTCACACCAGCTTCCAGATCTCACTGAGTGTCAGGTAAGACTTGTGGCTGAAACACGCGATCCTGAGTCTAAAAGCTACTTGGAACCATCAGTATTTAATAATATATTTTGAAGCTATGCTAGTAAGTGGGTATAATTTAAAACTGTTATATCTACTAATGAAGTTAGCCTTCTATCATCATGAAGTGATTCTTTTATTTAGTAACTTTTTTTGTCTTAAAGTTTCAGTAATACTTCCAAAGCCTTTAAAAGCAAAGTCTGGTCTTGGGGCGCCTGGGTGGCGCAGTTGGTTAAGCGTCCGACTTCAGCCAGGTCACGATCTCACGGTCCGTGAGTTCGAGCCCCGCGTCAGGCTCTGGGCTGATGGCTTGGAGCCTGGAGCCTGTTTCCGATTCTGTGTCTCCCTCTCTCTCTGCCCCTCCCCCGTTCATGCTCTGTCTCTGTCTGTCCCATAAATAAATAAAAACGTTGAAAAAAAAATAAAAGCAAAGTCTGGTCTTAAACTCTCAAATAAAAAGTGTGGACTATTCGAATGTTAAAAATTCCCTACTTTTACACTAATTTTTGTTCAACGCATCACTGAAGAGTAAATTATTTTCCACAAAGATTTGTACTTTAGGTTGAAGTAAGTCTTCTTTACCTCTTCTGAATAATTATATTCTATTTTATTATTTTTCTAATCAGATAAATAGCAAATGCTAATATTAAAGAGAAGTATAAATTACATATAAGATATAGAAATTGCCCTATAATAACCCATCAAAAACGTATAGGAATCCTAAGAAAACAGAGCAGCAATAGAATACTATGTAACTAATACTAATGATATTGATATTGTAAAACAAATCTTATTTGCATAAAAGTATAAAAGTCTATCCGATCTTACAACCCTTTGGAGCCTCTCTGGGAGACATGCTACATTCAAGTTAATTAAAAATATTAAAGTAATACCTACTAAATAACAAACATATAGACGAAGTGTCCAAAAACTATCATGTGTTAACAAATGCAAACTACTAAGCTCCATTCCCAAAGATTCGGATTTGATAGTTTGGGTCTGGGGCTTAAACATCTATGATTTTAGTAAACGGTAGATCTGATATACATTCAGGGTTCCAAACATCAGTGTCACGCATGTCTGGGGAGCACAGATTTCTAGGAGTCATAATGTCACAGAAAACTTCAAGAAGATAGGCCGGTTTATGGTAGGTCTTGAAGGAGGGACTCTGGCTTTCTTTCACATACAAAGCCCTTACTCCTTTTCCCTTTGACACTGTAGTTACACAGGGAGCCGCCCTGTCTCCAATATGGTGATTGTTGATGTGAAGATGGTATCTGGTTTTATCCCCTTGAAACCAACAATAAAAATGGTAGGTGAGGGGCGCCTGGGTGGCGCAGTCGGTTAAGCGTCCGACTTCAGCCAGGTCACGATCTCACGGTCCGTGTGTTCGAGCCCCGCGTCGGGCTCTGGGCTGATGGCTCGGAGCCTGGAGCCTGTTTCCGGTTCTGTGTCTCCCTCTCTCTCTGCCCCTCCCCCATTCATGCTCTGTCTCTCTCTGTCCTAAAAATAAATAAACGTTGAAAAAAAAATTTTTTTTTAAAAATGGTAGGTGAATTTTAAGCCTAGTAAATTTCATACAAAGGATGCTCTGTATATTCAAACTAGAAGCATACCAATAGCAAAGCCTTATCATTATCATCCTGCCCCCAAAATATTTTTTCTCAAACCCAGGAAATTAAATTCAATAATTGTTTATTTGTCTCTAAGCCGAGGGACTTGTGTGATACCAGAGAAACCCAAGAGGAGTCCCTGTCCTTAAGCCATTCGCAGTCTAGTTAGGGAATTAAAGCACATGGGTACAAAGCTGTATGTTACTATAACAATGCAAGAAAGACAGACTTTGATTACGTATCAGATTGGCTGATATGCTCTCAAACATTTGGCAATGACAGAAGCAATGTGAACTAGAATCATTAAAGATGCCAGAGGGTCTAATGTGTTACTTGGATATTGAAGCATGATGGAAATCCTGATCTGAAAATACTGGCTTCCTTCTCATCACAGAAAGCCAGATGATGTTTTCATGGTCAAGACATGATAACACTGAAGCCTGTATCCAAATGTGATTTCCGCCCCCCCCCCAACCCATGTTTTACATCTTTAATGTACCCTGGCTATTTAATCATGAAAATGACTTATAAGAATCCTATCCCTGACATCATTTGGACATTTGTCCCTTACTACAATCTTCTCTCATTTGCTAACTTTTTAAATTTTCTAATTTTCTTCAGCTCGAAAGATCTAGTCATGTGAGCAGGACGGAAGTCAGCAATAATCATGTCCTCATTTATGTGGAACAGGTAAGAGCTCTGACATTTTGGCTGAGACAATACATCACGGTGGTCTTTTCAAGTGGGTCTCTTCATTAGAAAATAAGTGATATGAGGTAAGCAGTAACTAGTTGCACCTTTCCAGAAAGTTCCTTTATTCTAAAAGAATAAAAATCTCCTTTTAGACCCACGGAGTGTTCTGCTCCCTTTAATTATGTTCAAATTGGAAAATGAATATGTCTATGAAATTGCAAGTAGAACATCAATGAACAAAAGGGTTATTGTGCCTGTTATTTCAAAGACCTCCCCCCAAAGAATAAATGTACGATAGTGGTTGATTAATGATAGTGTAAACATCCTGATACATCCCTCTATAAGATAAAATAAAATGTTGGGGCGCCTGGGTGGCGCAGTCGGTTAAGCGTCCGACTTCAGCCAGGTCACGATCTCGCGGTCTGTGAGTTCGAGCCCCGCGTCAGGCTCTGGGCTGATGGCTCAGAGCCTGGAGCCTGTTTCCGATTCTGTGTCTCCCTCTCTCTCTGACCCTCCCCCGTTCATGCTCTGTCTCTGTCTGTCCCAAAAATAAATAAAGGTTGAAAAAAAAAATTTAGCAAAGGGAATGCCTTATCCAGTCACTCCAAAAGAATAGCTTGATAATTACAGATGTTACGAAGCCAAGTCTCTGCATCTTGGCAAACACTCACATAGGCCCAGAGAGTTAATCTCATAGCTAAGCCTACCAGAGAATGTAGATTGCCTCAGCTATTTAGGAGAAAATCTGGGGAATTTTGTTCACAGTAAAGTGTTTCCAAAGTTGCATGTGAAATCCCATCTTGTCACCCATAAATGTTTGCTCACCTAAAAGACACCAGTGCATGAGAGTCAGAGAGCAAAGAAAGAATCTAATTTACTCAAGGAAGAGGGAAGGACACTTTCCAGACTCTTCATTACTCCCACTTGTCCTTTTAGGTAACAAATCAGACACTCAGCTTTTCCGTCACGGTTCTGCAAGATATCCCAGTAAGGGACCTCAAGCCAGCGATTGTCAAAGTCTATGATTACTATGAGCCAGGTAAGTGAGAAGAAACTGAAACAACTAAATAAGTCTCAACCCAGAGCCAAGAAATAGAATCCGTTGTTACAACAGATCCTAGTTTTAGTCCATTCGGTCAGTACTACATCTGTTTGTCTCTTTGCTCTAAGATACATATTGTAGCAACTATTAGTGGAACGAGTTCATCACTATCTACTGAGTCAGAAACTTAGAAATTTAAGAAGAAAGATAATATCTGGACACTGCTCTCACATATTTTAGAGACGTAGAGAACATAATCCACATAAAAAGATAATGTAACGAGGAAAGGCAGTTTATGACAGGTGAATGTTCGAATATAGATATTTTAACTATCCTGTTCAACACTTGTGTATTTATGTAGAGTTTTGACAATCCTGATATGTACTTGTCTCCAAAAGTAAAGTGAACAGACTTAGTATGGGCTCCCGTTTATAGATTTGTTTTTTGTCTCCTTTCATCCAACGATTCTTTCAGATGAGTCTGCCATTGCTGAGTACATCGCCCCCTGCAGCACAGGTAAGAGGTCACACGCCAGGACCACCCTCATTCCGCATGAGCTATGCTCCCTAAAGTTTCTTCTAAATTTAAAATTCTCTGCAAGTCTTTTCCTAGACCCAAGACAGTTCACGTGGCACATGCTCACACAAAGAGAAAACTGTGGCCTCTCCAATTTCAGATAGCCACACCGTTATCGCTAAAGTCAATAAGTTTTGTTTGCGTGTTTGTTTGTAGGATAGCTATCACTGACAGGCAACATTTTACATCACAGCTAATCCGTCCCCTTCAGCCCAAGGGACAACTATTTAATTCTCCTGCCAAATCTAGCCCAACATCTATTTTTGTAAATGAAGTTTTTATTGGAACGGAGCCACGCTCATTGCATTATTTTCTACAGCTGTTTTCATATGTTGAATAGTTATGGCATAAGCCACATGGCCTGCGACATCCAAAATATTTACCATACGTCCTTTGACAGCAAAAGTGTGCCAACCCTTGTTCTAGCCCAGGCTCAGCTGAGGGAATGTTCCTGAGGAAACCCCACCACCTTCCTATGTTTCTCTTCCCTCCATAGATGCAGAGCATGGCAATGTTTGAAGACCGTATTTAGGCTCCATATTTTGTTGGATTCCCTGTCCTATACTTCTGTTGAGAAGAAATGGAGTCGTTTGTGTCTGTGAAACAGACATCAAAGAGGCTTGCTGAATAAATATGTTTCTGGTCAAGCTCTCAGTTGTTCAGTCGTTCATTTATCAAATATCAATTACATGCTTACATGCAATGTTGTTTTAAATAATGTGAAGAATACAGATGTGTAACATCTGCAGATAGTTCAGCTGTGGCTATTGCATATAAAGTCGAACAGAGAATAACTGAAAATAGTTTATGTTCCGGGAAATCTTAGGGAAAAAAACTCGTTCATTGGTCTAGGAAGCCTTTGTTTAGACGGAGGTAAGTAAGTAGTATTGATTAGTTAGGCATAAATATTTTTGGAGAGGAAGCAAGAAATGTTTATCTTGGTCCTTAAGAAAGTCCATCAGAAATGGACTTCACAGGAGACTAAAATGATTGGAGTAAGAAAATGTGTTGGTGACAGGCAGTATTGTGCAGTGGCTAAAATCTAGACACTGGGGCCAGACTACCTAGAGTCAAATTCTGACTCCATCCCTGTCCCACCAGCTGAATGACTGGGGCTGTGACTCAACTCTCTGCTTCGGATTCCTCACAAAGAAATGGGAATAACAGACCCTATCTCAAAGTATTGTTATGAGGATAAACTATTCTCATGGAAGAGGGGAAAGAGAAAGAGCTGAATCAAGCAATGACTCAGAAAGCTTTGGCTCAGGGGCACCCGGGGGGCTCAGTCGGTTGGGCATTGGACTCCTGATTTGGGCTCAAGTCATCACGGTGCAGTTCGTGCGTTTGAACCCCACATCGGGCTCTGCACTGGCAAAGCAGAGCCTGCCTGGGATTCTCTGTCTCCCTCTCTCTCTCTGCCCCTCCCCCTGCTCACTCTCCAGCTCTCTCTCTCAAAAGTAAATAAACTTTAAAAAAAAAAAAAAAGCTTTGCCTCAAATGCGGTGTATATAACTTTCATTTGCATTCTATTGGCTAAAGCAAGTCACATGACCAAGCCCAACTTTAATGGGGCACTCAGTATGTTCTCACTTTCCCCCATGGGAAAAGCCGCAGGCCACGGGGGTCTCTCCTGCCACCAAAAATGTGCTGCTTTAGGGAATGGTGATGAAGGCAAAGTAAAAATATTCCTCTTACAATTCTCAACCCATAAGGGTGGGAGGAATTTTGTCTATTTACTTTTTACTTCTCTCTTATGTGGGTCTCCTCCTCCTCCTTCATAGGAAAATTCAATATTGATGTAATTTTATATTTGCATAGCATTTTAAACATCTCTGAGACTTTTCTATGTTTTCTAATTTTATCTAAACCCATTTTGCAACTCATAAGGAAATAATGTATCTAAGTCTTGAACACCAATGATTGCTAACATCAGAAAGAGAGAAATAATTCGATATTCTGTGCATCCTGATGCATGAATATAAGATTTCCTATGAAGTCGCATTGCCAAAAAAAAAAAATGAAATCTAATTCTCTGTCCCTGAAAAAAGACTGGAAACAGTGTGAAAAACCATTCTCCTTGGCCTTCCTCAGAATCAAGGCACAGTGTTTCGAAATGGAAAATTTAGAAGAAATCTTTAAAGATGACCCAAAAGATCTGAATTCAAACGTGAGAATTTGGTAAGAAACAGAGGTTTCTCAATCACAGGGATTAGATGGGAAGACAAGAGGGAGGATGGGAGGCTAAGAAATCCTTTCCCTAATCCAGAATGCTTTTTTATTTCATCCTAGGTTTTCCAAAGAGAGAAGAATAAACACAGTTTATTCGTAATTTATCACTGCGAATTCTGATCCCTTTCTTATGAGGTCAAGATCCACTTTTACATAAGGAAAGGGAGAAGAACCAGAGATTAACCTATGTTTCCAACATTTTACAGTTCCCAGAAAAAGAGTTAAGTCTTTTAATGCTAGGGCTCTTTATTGAGTCCTAGGATTAAAATTCCATATTTCTAGGACCAGATTTTTGCTTCCACAAACAGGGAAAAGATATGTGTGGGACGGTAATGGCATTAGCAAATAGGGACCAAAGAAGAAATCAGGGAGATGGTAAATTTATCCATGAAAATCATGACGTGGGAGCCAAGCACATGCAGAAGTCTCTGCATGTTTTTATCCAATAATGTGAGGTTATAGAGATGTACATGTAAAAATGGAAATTACCAAAATGATAACTAGCCTGTTCTCCCCCTTTATCTTTTCCTTTTTCCCCCCAAAAGATATATATATATGATATATATGATATATTCCGCCCCGAAAATACACACACACACACACACACACACACACACATACCTGAACTGAAACTCCGCATGCTCATTTTGCTTCTCCCAAAATAAGTGAAATATTTCTGTTTCCCCGCTTCCTTCCCTGAATAACATGGAAGGGCAACTTATTGAAATATGAACTGGTGTTTTGTTTTCACTCCTCAAAAGGATTTGAAAAGAATGTGATCTGTGCTGATTCCGATCCCTTGTTTTTCCCTTCCCTATTTCAAAGTGTAGCCAGGACCTTGTGTTCTTTGGCTTTAAAAGAATTTTCAAGGTCAGAAGTAAGGTTGCCTAAAGATAACTATGTGAAAGCCCTGCCTATCTGAGCATGAAGAGAAGAAAGAAGTCTTTTGCAGGGAGGGAAGAGTAGAAGCCCAGCTGGCAGGGAGAATCCAAAACCAGGAGGTGGGTGGAGGTTTGTGTGACCCGAGATAGTGGGCATCTGGGGTCCTCTCCCTCACTGCACCCGGGGGAAAGATAGGACCTCTGAGTTAAATGACTATGTGAGGCCCCCCTGAACCAAAGAGCTCCCAGTCTCAGCAAACATTCTTGGGCCCAAACGGCCAGGCTTCAAAGGGGCTGAGGGGTTGGACAATGACACAGTCACATCAAGGGTAACCATTTCAAGCGAACAGTAAAGCAACCTTCCCAGACATTTTGCTTTACAAATCCCAGTGTGAGAAAAGCTCTAATAAAAACTGAGATTAATTCTCACCCAGAAATTTGGAAAAATGGAAACAGAATTAGATTTCATTTAAAAAAAAATGGTATACGTTTTGAATGACACAGTGTGTGGTTCCTAATTCATATCTGCTACAGCAGTTAAGTGTTCTTAAAAATGGTCAAAACTTCTATTTCCTTACCCCGAAAGTTGAAATTTCTTATTCTTAGTTACCATTATTGTGAAACCACTATGACTAATTCAAGGCCTAGCGTAGTCAATTTCTTCCTTCCTTCCTTCCTTCCTTCCTTCCTTCCTTCCTTTATTTCTAAGTAGTTAATTTTCTTGAGTTATGATTGACATACAAAAAAGCCATATATAGTTAATGTATACATCTTGATGAGTTTGAAGATATGTATGTATATACTTATGAAGCCACCACCATATACAATACCATAGATGTGACTGTCACCCGCTTCTTCCCTCTTTCTTTTTTGATAAGAACATTTAATCTAAGATCTTCTCTTCTAAGACGTTTTTAAGCACACAATATTGTTAACTATATGCACTATGCTCTACAGATTTCTAGCCTTCTTCATCTTGCATGAATGCAACCATATACCCTTTAACCAACATCTCCCTGATTCCCCTTACCCTCAGCTTTTGGTAACACTACTCTCTGCCTGTTGAGTTTCACTGTTTTCGATTTCTGATATAAGTAAGACCATAGAGCATTTGTTCTTCTGTGTCTGGTTTCTTTCCTTTAGCATGACGTCTTTCAAGTTCATCCATGTAGTAGCAAATGGCGGGATTTCCTTCTTTTTTTAAAACTGAGTCTATTCCACTACAAGTATACACGCATTTTCTTTATTCTATTGTCTATAGACAATTAGGTTGTTTCCATGGCTTTGTTATTGTAACTAATGCTGCAATAAACACGGAAACTCACATAGCTCTTTGAGATCCTGATTCCAATTATTTTGGGTATATACCCAGAAGTGAGATTGCCGGATCATGTGGTATTTCTATAAATACCTGTTTTCCGTAATGGCTTTACCAATTTACATTTCCACCGACAGGTATAAGGGGTCACTTTTCTCCACATCCTTCTAAACACTTAGCTTTTGACTTTTTCAGAATGGCTGTCCTAACAGTTGTGAGGTACCATCTCATCGTGCGTTTGATTTGCATTTTCCTGATGACTATTGATGTCGAACATCTTTTCACTTACCTGTAGGCCGTTTGTATGTCTTCTCTGGAGAAATGGCCTTTTGCCCATTTTTAATCATTTTTTGGTGTTGTTTTGGGGGATTTGAGTGGCAGAGGGGTTGTTTTGGGGGGCTGTTGCTATTGAGTCATGTGAGCTCCTTATTACTTTGGATACTAACCCTTTATCAGACACCTGATTCGTGAACTATTTTCTCCCATTCCACAGGCTGCCTTTTCACGTTGCTAATGATTTCCTTTGCTGCGCAGAAGCGTTTTTGTTTGATGTTGTCCCATTTGTCTGTTTTTGCTTTTGCCGCCTGTGCTGTTAGTGTCATATCCAAGAAATCATTGCCAAGACACTCGTTCTCTGTTTTCTTCTGGGAGTTTTACAGTTGTGTGCTTAAGTCTTAATCCACTCTGAACTGATGGCTGTGTATGTGTAAGAAAAGGGCACAACCTTCTTCTTTTGTATGTAGGTATCCAGTTTTCCCCACAACATTTATTGAAGAGACTTTCCTTGCCCCATATGATCTTGCTCCCCTTGCTCAAGATCAATTTACTATAAACGTGTGGGTTTATATCTGCGCTGTTGTGTTCCATTGGCCGATGTGTCTGTTTTTATGCCAGTACCCTACTGTTTTGATTTCTGTGGCTCTGTAATACAGTTGGAAATCAGGAAGTGTGATGCCTCTCATTTTGTTCTTCTTGCTCAAGATTGCTCTGGCTATTCAGGGTCTCTTGTGGTTCCATACGGATTTTAGGTTTGTAAGTGGTCCATTCTAGTATCTTGTGGATCGGCCTTTCACAGAATTCTTACTTTAGAAACGTAGGAAAGGCGGTGAATGAAAAGACTTCTCTTAATTTTCCGTACCACAACAGTAGTCTTTGTGTCTATCAGAGAACGTACAATAGTTGCTGAAGGAGAAAAAAGTGAAGAGAAGGAAAAAGTGGGTAG